GGCGAGGCCCGGGGGCCCGGCTTTATTTATTTCAGCATCTTGAGGATCGCGGGCTTCATCTGCGCCTTGAGCGGGGGGTCGACGGAGATGCTCCGCAGCTCTTGGGGGTTCAGGATCCGGGCGTGGGCCTCCGCGAAGAGCTCCTTCCCCAGGGTCACCTCCACCCGTTTGCGCCACTCCTGGAGTTTGGGCCGGCCCTCCAAGACGTCGCAGCCGGCGCCCATGGGCTGTGGGGCGAGGCGGGCGTGGGGGGGGGGGGGAGAGAAAGCAGCTCCAAATCGGGGAAATCCCTGAAGGCCCCCACCGGTGCCCCTCCCCAGTCACCTACCACATGACAGGGGGGAAAGGATGTGGGTCCCAGCAGGGGGAAAGGAGGGACTGCAGTGGGTGGGGGCCCCTGGCCAAGTGGAGGGACCCCCTTGGGCTCTTCCCTGCCCCCCAGCACCTCCTCAGACCCCGAGGAGGGGCTCCCCAGGAGGAGATCCCGACTGGCAGGGATCCCCTTCTTGGGGAAGGTCACCCTTGGCCTGCCGGACCTGGAAGAACCGAACCCTGAGCCCGCCTGGGTCCTTCTGGGGGAGAAAAGTGGTCTTAATTTTTAATCTCTCTCCCCATTTCTACAATTTGCTCTTGCCGAATGTTGCCCTACCTAGAAAACATTGCCACCTGAGAGTGCTGTAAATGAAATAAACAATACCGTTTTGCTCCTGTGGGAATGTCGATCTGGTGTACTGGTCCTGTGCTTTTGTGATTTGTCTTTGTGAGCTGCATGCCACAACTTACAATCTGTAGACACCCAGTGGTCTGCACCTACTTGTCCACAAAGGGAGGCCCCCGCCAAGACTGTGCGTGGTTCCTGGCGGGAGGGAACAGGGCCCATCGTCCCCGGCCGGCGGCCGCCCAGCTGCTCCTGGGGCCTCACCTGCATCAGTTCCACAACGGCAACCAGGTCGGCCAAGGAGATCTCGTTGCCGATGATGAAGGGCTTCTCCTGGAGGAACTTCTCCTCCAGCTTCTGCAGGGAGAGGTTCAGGTCCTCCATGGCGTCCTGCACCTTCTCCTGAGGGACCTGTTGGCCCAGGAAGAGAGGGATCACCACCTGCCCAGAAGAGAAAACAGAGAGGGCTCATTTCCTCTGCCGGAGGGGCAGCACGTCGTCTTCCTTTCAAGAGGCCACTCCTGTCACGTGATCTGGCTCGAGACCGGTCCTCCTTTGAACAGCTGCCCAAACCAACTCTGGGTCAAAGAGAAAGAGGTGTCGGGAGGAGGAGGAGGAGGAGGAGGAGGAAGGGCAGCCGCCCAGGACCGGTGCGAGGCCCTTCGTCCAGCCCATCCAACCCCTGGACAGCAGCCACCTGGACAGCTGCTGGTGCCCCGCTCACCTGAGCAGCGTCTTCCTCCCCCTCAAGTGACAAACACATCGCAATGAAGTCTACCTGGCAAAGGCAGCATCTAATTTTGCCCCTGCGCGTATCGGTTCACAAAGGCAGCGTTAGGCGGATCAGACCCCTCGGTCATCCTTCTCTCCAGAGGAGAGCGGCCACTCCGGCATCTGGCCCCGGAGGTGGCTGTGGCTGTGTGGGTCGGTTGTCCTGTCTTGGCTGCCTGGAGGAATAAAAGCCATTCTCTCCCCGGCGGGGGGTGGTCTTGAACCCTCATCCCAGGAGGGCTGTGCTGGGCACCTTGCCTTCTCATCAGTGCTATGGACACAGCCTCGGCCCGAGCGGCTGTGCCCTAACCCTAACCCTTGCCTTCTCATCAGTGCTATGGACACAGGTGTCAGATGGCCAGTCCCGATCCGGGCAAAAGTCTGACCGGAAATGCAACCTCTCACCATGGGACTGAAGGGCAGCAAGGTGGGGGCCTCCTCTGAGGAGCCCCTACGGACTCCCTTCTTTCCAGGGGAAAGGCAGGGAACAGAAGGCGTCCCTTGTCATAAGGCTGCTAGACCTCAGGAGGACTCGCCTTGAGCCACAGGATCTTGGAGGCCGTGGTGCGGATGTTGGTGTGCTGCCAGGCCAGGTATTCATCCACGCGGGCCCTCTTCTTCATGTCTGGCGGGTACCAGTGACTGGGGGTGTTGTACTTCCGCGTCAAGTACAGCAGGATGGCTGTGCTGGGGAGGAAAGGAGGA